AGAATCCTGTTGCCTTCCCACCTACCATCTACACTTCCATATGTTGTACTGCTATCTGTGTAATTGCGAACCACTCTAACTTTGTACAGTGCCACTGACGGGTCTTGTAGTTTGATGTGCATCCTGATTGTAGTAAGTACTGGATCAGCTTCTGGGAAGAGGCTTAGATGGCCATGGACTCGGTTATTCCAGATTGCGCAACAGCAAGTCACGCTAACAGGGTTACGCACTGCGATTGGGCCAAGCGTGTCCTTTCGGATATCCCACGCGCGTATCTTTGCCAGCAAAGAATCGAGGCTTCGAGGTGGGTCCCTGGACAGGTATGATACGACCTTGATCTACCGTATATTTTAAAGCAGCAGTAAATATTGCATTTAATGCGTAACTCTAATGCTGGTTTTCATGGCTTTCAAGCGTCGATTGGGAAAGGGGGGAGGGGTGCGTCAGCAGCCGCACGTGATACACTTTTCCTGCGCATCCTTCGTACAACTACTCATACATGAATTTACCAACATGTGAACAGTATCCGGATGAAGACTTATACCGGTTTTTAAACGATTTTATCGATAGTCCACGGCAGTGGCTGTTACTAAGAAGCTGTCACCATATATTCGTAAAATAAAGTCGACTGCAGAAGGAGTAAACAGCGAATTGTGGTCAGAATGAAAGAGATGAAGCTTCAACGAATATATCTTCCCCTCTAAAACGTCGAGCTTTATCTGTCGCATGGAATCCCAATGGGGATAATATAGGATCTATTGTGCCAGGTAGGGGACGAATCAATGAGACCCAGCTCCAAACACTGACTCTCGCTCTGAAAAAAGCGGGGATCATTGTTATTGGCTATCAAATTTATTATTCTGGTTTAAGAAAGTCGTGTGGATCCTGATATATTCTGAAGCACTGATCAAATAAAGACAGCGCGCAATTCTCATCTTTTGTTTACAGCATTAAGATTGCAAAGAGAGCTCGAGGCGGTGATAGTGTACAGCGTCGAAGGGTTTCTTCAATCTTTCTGTAAATTTTTGAGAATTTTGATGGCGTGAAAAAATCTGTGGTTATTTTAGATACGATCCATGACACGGCTTAAGCGCCACAAACCATAAATCGACCGGTTTCGAATACATCGAGTGCTACGTCATTTTTGATTCACATGTCATTCAATCCTGATGAGTCATAGACCGGCTTCAACGAGGAACGAAAAGCACATTTAGAGTGAATATGGAGCTTCTGTAGCCTCGACGTAGAATAAGTAATTCTCTGGAAGCAATTAGCAATATTGTCAAACATCATTGGCTTGGAAAGAGTGCGCCGTGATCGCAGGATAGAACAGATAGCAGCGATGAAAGAGTGCTGAAACAGCACACCACAGTTACAACTGTAAGATGGGTTCTCTCGAAAAAATTCTGATATGAGGGAAATGGGCGTTTGTATGTCGCGGTAGCCAGAGTTTTATCTGGTACCACGGCTCCCAAATAGACCATGGGGGCATGTGATTTTATTTCGCGAGTAAATCCGTTAGTCCCTGATGATGTTCAGAACGTACAGTCCTTGACATGTTATAGCGATACTGCCGAGTATGCACTACCGTGTGTGAAACGCACTACCGTGTGTCAAATGCTTGATTCCCATTCAGGCATGGGCACTTTCTGATCATCAATGGCCTGCAGATCATGCGTCCCAACAATTCTATTATTTGCTGTATTAATATGAACACCCCCTTGTGGATTTTGATTAAAATCAATGAGATCTAGTGCTCACGTAATGAGTAGAGACTTGAATCAGGACTTACCGGTCCCTCTTTTGACCAGTAAGTAACCTTTCGCGCCACAGGTGGTAAAGCTTCAACCATTTGTATTGAAAGTTTGATATTCCTAAAACCGCACGCAGTCATACCGGCGTTGTGGTTCTACGTCTTTAAAGTATGCCTCATCTCGTTGCTGTCAGAATACTATAATCGGCGAAGTTGGCCAAGCTATTTCTCGACATCGATTATTATCAACGTGGTTTGCCGTTGGTCAAAGTTTTGGATCTATATGTACGCTTCAAAGTGATATTCTGCCTTCTACTGAGATGCTTTGACCCCGATAGGATATGATTATTGCTGACCATCCTTAGAGGGATGGTCAGACAATGCACTATATTCTTGTGAAGGAAGTCATTCGAAGCGCTTATGCTGAGCAACCGCGAGGGTTCAAATCGGTGTTTTATCTCCTTGAGCTTTTGTTAAACAACGCACCACATACATCCACAAGCTTTCCTTTGCATGTTTTTAACGGTTTGATTATTTTTTGTGTATTATTGACGCCGACACAAAATGGATCTGATCGAGATGAGAGATTTCTAAATAAGTGATAACTGCTAAAATCTTATCGTAGTGAATTAATGTTATATTTTGCTTGCACGATATTAAGCTTCAAATCCAGAGCGTGCAAAAGCAAATATGCATCAAATGCAGACTAAATTTGGAGTAGGAGAACATGATCGCTTTAACGATACTAACCGACCAACTTGCAGTATCTACTCAAGAGTGAATTGCAAACACCTACATTGCATCGTTAACGGTTGTAGTGAGACAGAAGGAATGCAAACACTTCCCGTATCTACTGAGATGTATAAATATAATTCGCGACTCCGCTTTTGCAATCTTTTCGGGTCCCATGCGCTCTGTTGAAGCTTTCAAAAGACCTGAATCAGTTTGAGCCAATCAAAAAGGTCAAAGCTGATGAATGCTGTTGTACATCGACATGACACGACCTTTCGACAATCTTTCTCACAGGATTTTATTAGTAGTTAGGTACGACAAGATAGTCGGTCTTCAAGGAAGCCCTTCCGAATCCGGATTTGACGTTTCACGTCGCCTTTTAGATTTTAACCCCTAAAATGAGCCGCACTTCATTTCTGGCACAGGTGAGCGCGTCATCGCGTTGATTCTAAGCGCAGAGAAGAATAATCGAGTCCATAATAATGTGATTATTACTATCAAGTATGCCACTACAAATTCAGGTAAAGCTACTGGGAACGATGCAAAACACACGTAGTTGCGCAAGCGAATGCAGAGGTATGTCATCAAAAGAAAAATGAAATGTTTGTCCTTGTCGATCATAACTATAAGATCATATATAGTTCGGGTGGGTGGTGGAAAAACTCTGGACCTGTCAGACAATAATTATCGTATGCTCAGATTGTGATAGCGCGTACCGACAAGGTGATACATATACATACAGGTTGTATGCAACATGTGTCGCGCTGTCAAAAGCTATGTAAAGCTATGAGCTCCAATTTCGCGTCATTGAAGCTTTTTGTAGCGCGTTTAATTGCTGTTTTTTTGGTCAGTGTCCAACGGTTTTGGAGAGTGACCCTTTCAACTCGCAGGATGTAACAATGCGCAGTAAGCACAGAAATTTTGTTGCTAAGCGACGCGATGTTTTTGTCAACATGTCGCTGTAGAGCGTGTGATTTCGACTCGAGATTATTATCAGCGGTAAACTATGTTTACAAATAATCAATCGAGAATGGCTTGGATGATTCCCTATCGTATAGTTTCGCTGACATCCGTAATGATATCTCTGAGTTTGGGGAGATCAGCCGCTATTATTGGATTTACAAAGCTCACAATTATCGAACTATTTGGTCGTCTATAAGAAGAAGGACTGCCAGAACTAGCGGATAGCCATGAGATTCCGGTGCGAGGTGCGATTGCATAAATTTGACACGTGCACACATAATTACTCTCCTATTGGAACATGCTGAACCACCAGTACATAGCTATCAAATGTATCTCTACTGAGTGGCCTCCCAGCTAGGATTCTAAGAATTAAATAGTATTCTATCAACAAGGATCTGATACTACCGCGCAGGCTCGCTAAAGTTCAGCAGTGATGCTATCTGCGCGTAAGGACCAGTCAACGAAAGATCAGTGCTAAAACACAGCAAGCCATAGGAATTGAAGGTGCTACGAAAACCTTGATGAAGTGACATCGAAGCCCCTAATTACATACCTTTGAGAAGTGTGACATATGGTGCATCCGACCTGTATGCCGTAGTCACTGCGCGCCATCATCATCCAAAGATGCAATAATAATAGTCTGAGCGACGCGAAATTTTCCCACCACCACATTCATCCCGCCCGAACTATATGTTACCTTAAAGGTATGATCGACAAGAAGGATATACGTTTGATTTCTTAGTGAAAGATATGCTTCCGCCATCACTGTGCGCAGCGACGTGTGTTCTGTACGAACGAATTGCATCGAACTCGGTAGCTTTACCCGAACTTTAAGCATGCATACTTTATAGCAAGTAGCTCGTTATGGATTGAATGATTCTTTCTGTGGCTACATTCAGCGCAATGACGTGCTCATCTGTGTTTCAACTAAAGTGCACCTTTTCTTAAAGGATGAAGCCTAAAAGGCGACGTGAAATGACAAATCTGGATTTAGAAGGGCCAAAATCGAGGCACACATGAGCTTGTATGAACACCCTTAAAGGTCGCCTTATGCGTCGAGTCTTACGATCAATTAACATCCATTCACTTCAAGAGGTTGATATGGGAAGTCGTGACATAAAGTTTGCTAGCGCATGCCGTTACAAGGCTAAGCCACTTTCTTCACCCTTACTGGATATCGGCACCTGCCAAACAATATTGACCTTGATTTTTTGGGATAAGCCCGTATATTCCAAGCAATGGGAATTTCACGGCGTCAGAGACATCATTGTCTATAGAGGAAGACAGATCGGGTGGGTTTACAAAGTTGAGCACTGATCGCAAGTGCAAAAAATTGTCAAGACTCGTGCTTTGTAAAACTTTGCACGAATGTTTTGTCAATTAAGGGTCAATCATATGAACGCCGCGGCTGAAAGCGCTTTTTCACTCGTGGGGTGAGCGTTGCTAGTCTTTGGACACCCAATCGACATAACTAGCTAATTCTGTGTATCCCGATCGGAGTTCTAATTGAAGCCAGAAAAGTGTCACTATTATTCACGGTGGTGGAAAACATATATTTGCAAAGACTAAAGATTTCATTCCACCATGCTGTTGTGTCGTACATATATTCTAATATTCGGTGCCTGCATCGGTATGGTGATCTACTTCGTGAGCTTGCATAATTTGCTACTTACCAACGGTATTTGTAAAATGTCAGCGTCAGATACTAATACTCATTGAAATGGATTTGTCTTCAACTGTAAAATAGGGTCTTTGACGTCTACACTTTTGAAGGGTCACTAACGTCAGATACAACGTCCAAAGTCAGGTCTATATCATAAAACACGCTTGAACTGAAGGCAACAGCTGTGGTGAGCCTTACGTCACCACATCGTGATATTTGCTCCAGAAAGTATAACATAGATTTGCAGCATCCTGGAGTATAGCCGTTAAGCAGCGTCACAATTCGCGCCAAGCGCTCGCTGCGTATCGTCAATAACAAAATCGTATATGGTGGATGATGAGCTCATCTAAATCGGACATTTTACCATCTCGATATTCTGCGCTTAGTCCTATAGATACCAGGCCTAATGGTTTTCTACGTAAGGTAGTGAGGGCAGACTTATTTCCTTAGAAAGTCCTCGGTCACATCAGTCACAAATGATATATCATCTCGTCGCAATACCGCGAAGCGTCACCACTCTCTAGTGGAAGTGTTTTAAGGTGATGCCAAACTGGCGGTGCCGAGATATCGTCGCAATCCGAAATCATATATGAACATGAATTTTTATTCGCAAATTCTAGTCAGATGCTCTTAAAAGGCACGTGGTATGAAGCCACTCGAGACTGTCTTTATGTGATCAGACTCTAAAACTCGTACACATTGTCGCTCTTATTCTTCTCTACACTATCAACACATTAAAGCCTGGACTACAGCTTAGATATCCGTCTCCTTAAATAGGTTACTCTGGAAGCTGCGATAATACCACTTCTGCCAAGCTCAAGGCGCTTGGCGATATAGTTGTTGTCTATTTAGTGCAAATAGACAATGACTATTTTGCTAAGCGCTTCATTGCAACGAAGCGGTCGTAAGTTTATTTTTGCGCCGATGATGCATCTGGTGGATTCATGTGCCACCAAGCGTCCACTTAACGTGAAGCGCTTGGAACTTGATGTTTCGATCTTTTGTGAATACATGGGTTAGGCGGTTAGTCTGATCTCGAATGAAGGTCTAGGTCCAAACAGCGTTTGCGTCACCACAATCCTCAACGATCACGGGGACGCTCAAAAGAATTCTTGACATGTAAACATCGCGAGACGCAAGGATGTGGTATTATTAATCGGTTTTTCAAAACCTCCGCATACTATTTACAGCTTTCGACGGCCGCGTGTTGCTTCAGCTTTGCCAAGTTCTGTGGTCTCGGGTGTGATAATTTTGCTACTTTATTACGCTCACGAGCCCCACTTCATTATTCAGTGCGACACCGATTGCATTCAAGAAATAGGGTGGACAAGGAAGGTCTCGGTGCTAGCCACACTTGCATGAAGAACTTTTACAGAGGTACCATCCAGAAGACTTCTTGCCACCATTCCAACTTTAGGAATTTTAAAGCCTGGATATATTCCGCAATTTTGTTTGAACGGGCATAACCGCATCTGATTCCTGGATAGTCAATTGCGCTATCCCAACGGGACCAAGTCGATACAAATTGTGCAAATTTGTCTTATTGTTCTGAGATCACACGGCTGAATATAATATGTTTCAGTCACACAGATGATAAAGCTCATATAACTTCGAACGGCGGATTGATGACATCGACTACCAGATGCAACAGAGTTGTTGCACAACACTCACAAAGGAAATTCTATTCTCAAAGTCCGCGTTAGCTACCAGAAAGGGGACGGGTTGGTAGCGCACCACTATGATGCCGATCTGATAAGTGAAGTACTACTTTTGCGTCTGTATCATGAGTGAAATATTTAGAACAAAGTCAGTTTTAAAATGGTTTTGAGAGTATATCATTGATTTCTACTTTGACGAAATTCTATCTTATGCATTGCGTGAGGCCAGCAACCTACTTTTCTCACCGTCCTTTCCATAATATAGTCCCAAAACTCTCATCTGGAAATTATTATACTATATTGAAGAAATTTATATTGGTATTTCAGAGCTTCGCGTGACAAGTATTCCCCAGGCATGACAAAACTTTTGCCTTCAGTGTGGTTGTCTTATTGATAATTACGCTATATCAGGGAATGCTCGTTACCAACATCCCAAACATTAGTATCGAGTTTGATTGGGCTTGAATTTTATGTTTGTCTACTCAAAATTAATGCACTAATTGATCAAGTCTCGTAGAAGTGCATTTTTCATCTACGGTGTGCATAAATATCCTCATTCATTCTCGTTTTCTTGCGTTTCTACCAGCACGAGATCAGGTAGTTTGTTTCTTGCTCTAGGCGAGGTTGGAATCCGTGGTATCCAGCGTTGTCGCGTTAATATCGTTGCACTCGAGTTTGATGCCGATGCCACTAAATCGGAGTTGTTGTCACGCATTTGTTTACGCGCCAAACGAAGAAGGTACCCTTTTCGATTGTGCTCTTTTTTCTTCATTATCGAAGATGGCCCCTTTAATAGATACGCTGCAACATGCAATTATTGCACATGAGCATAAAAAGCGAACATGTATCATGCAAATGGGTGCACCTGATTGCTTTCGAACGGTAAAAGGAGTAATTGTCGAGCTAAATCTGAGAGTTGACGACCAGTCCATTGGTCGCAGGACTTGTCCAAATTCACCGGTCTGTAGCGATAGATAACTACGTGAATACGTTGTCTCGTGCGGTCGTTGCACACACGCTGTCGATGCAAATCGAGATTTGTTCTCTTTGTCGTTTTGACCTAAAATTGCCACTGGATACGGAGGCAAAAAGGGTAGCTCATTGCGCGAGGTTTCCCACGTTGGCGGCAACATTCGAACCCTTTGTGTATTATGATCCAGAGAGACGCTGCTACCTTTAAGAGGGAATCGATTGTACCCGCATCGTAACTCGGGGTTGGATTCAGAACCTGGATGCACTTGCACTAAGCCAGAAGGTAGCATCACTACGTGTGGATAATACGGACTCCAGATGTCTGGATTGACAACATTTGTATCGCATCTAGTATCAATAGCTTGAGCAGGTAATGGCTTCAATCCGTGCATTACGAAGCCCACAGTCTCAGGTCGAGGCCATCGTACTTCTCCTGTGTAGCTATGCAAATAGTAGACTAAATTATGCCGTCGGTCGTGAAATAATTGCCATCCAAACACATCTTCGTCCCATCTATACGAATGAAGAAATTAGAATTCGATTGTTAAGTGTACTTAACGAAGCTCAAAACGATGTCGATACATTGCTCATGACAACGAGAAGAATGTGAGCTCCGTTGAAGAAATGCTACGTACCGACGATGTGCGCCATTGAACGTTCTATCGGTCATTACCACGACTTGTGCCTTTCTTGGGTTTCTTATTTGCCTTTAATAGGCAACTTTGTCAAGTCTGTAACTTGAAGTGCAGTTTGTCGAATACAATTGTCAAATCAAAGAGTTTGCCATAAAATGACTTGTCAAGACATATACAGCCGTCGTAAAATTGAAGTGTCGTCGAAACTTTTCACTGTCAATGAAACGCTCTATCACGTTGAAAAAGATTAAACACTAGAGCAAATTGGTCATCGTACCCAAATGTTGTGCTGGAGATTTGAATACTATTCTTTTATAATCTATTCCGCCGTAGCTCCTTTTTTGCCTCAATAAATTGCAATAATCAATTAGGCAGCATATTAACCAATCAAAATAAAGTTGGTTTTAACTAAGAGTATTGACACATCTAAGATTATGACAATGGTACAAGAGCGTCTCGCCGTGCTCAGCATGAATGTATGCTTTCGTAGCGTTCTGTCTTGTGATAGTGCTGCTAATCTAACAAATTTTATTGACGTATAAATAAGATCTTCTGTCGTCCTGAGGGCATCCACAGTGGTCAGTGGTTTCATACAGGTGATTATAAAGATCTTCGCATTGCGCTGTTACTTCGCAAGATGGCCAAGTTTGATGTCGTTATTCTTCAAGAAATGTTTGAAGCTGGAGTGCGACACCAACGTTTTGTACGAAAAGCATATGCTATGGGCTTTCGCTATCACTGTGGCTCTGTGTGGCCAAAGTTACTCGACCTACGTCTTATTGATGGAGGACTCTTGATCCTCAGTCGTTACCCCATTGTACAGCGCGATCAGCTTGCGTTCTCACAAGGTTCTGGTAGTGACGGAATGTGTGCTAAGGGTGTGCTTTACGCTCGCATTCAACTCTCACCACATCTCTCACATTCACTTCACGTGTTCACTACCCATACACAAGCTGGGGACAACTTGAAAGACTACAATATTCGTCTCGCACAGCTCGAGGAAATGCATAAATTTATTGGTCAAACGATCCACGAAAATCTTGGAGGGCCTATTCTTATCACGGGAGATTTTAATCTTGATGCTCGACATGATCTTATCCATGACTTCAAAACCGGATCTGTGACCTCAATACGATGTCGAGAAAGCAAAGTGTACCAGCAACTTATTGAAAACCTCGAGCGTGTAGTGAAACAAGCGAGACAAAAATCTGCGGTAGAAGCATGTTCGGACACTTTGGTCATTGATCTGATGAAACGATGTGATACGACAAAATTGGGCGATGAACTCCACCCTATCACGAATGGAGACGGCCATTCATCACTTGTTCATCTATCAGATCCTTTATCGCTCGATAAGGATGGCAAGTGCATTGATTACATGTTTTTTATTCCAGGGGATGCTCAAACAGATCAGAAGCATCTTGATAGTACACCGTTTCAATTTACATTAGAGGAAATGGGTACAACAGTGGATCATTGTACGGTCAAAGACCTTTTTGACAGTAAGAACGATGACGATCAGGTGACACAACGCCTACATCAATTAGATGTGCATCCAGTCACGCACTTGTCTGACCACTATGGACTACGTGCCAACTTCCTCCTGGAACTAACGAATCTGAAGTGTCCAGACGGTTTACCGGTGGGAAAGAACGAGCCAATTGCTTCAGTATTGCAACTTTACTTTCCTCAAAGTGCCTATGCGCAACAACCTCAACGTCTCTGGAAGTTGAAGCTTGCTTTCGCACTATTTCTAATTCTTGCCTCGACTAGCATCGTCATTTTCCTTTTCGTTTGTTCTATATTGCGCTTTATTACATAAAAAACATTTAGACATCATACACGAAATTTGTGTTAAATTCTATAATTGCGTGGCTTCCTTTATTGTCGAACAGCAATCAGATACCACTAAATTCTAGCCATTTTATGAAGCGAAAGACTTTTCAAAGTATGCAATCAAATGTTGAGCGACTGCAAACGAAAAGACGAGTTTTGGACCCACCACCGAGAGTTTCGGAATCAAACCCTTAAACAGCGCACTTGGACCTTCGAACTTTAGCAAATTGCGCACTACCACCATGCCACTCTCGGGTGAGTCAAATGGGCGTGATTGAATACGCGTTTTGATTACATCAAGAGGTTGAGCCACTACAATTTAAGCAATGAGTACAATATTACAATAGCAAATAACAATTACAATAAATATGCAGTACGTACCAATAATACTGGCCGAGGCACCAGAGATGGAAGCGACAAAATTCTGGAAAAACGTCGCACTATTGTAATTTTCCAGCTGAAACAGATATTCTTTTGCGAATGCCGAGCCGCCGAACAAAGCGAACGACCCAGGAGCGTTACGTGCGGCTGTCCAAGCGGCACCACGGTAGAGAGCAAAGCCTTCAGTTTTAAAAATGTGGACCACGCCTTTGCCAGCTATTGCAGCTGGATTTGTCTGTGCACGAATCTTCAGCACGTCAAGTGGCAAAAGAGCAATTTCACCAACGCCAATGAGGCTACCGGCTGTCGCATGCATCATCGTCTTGGCATTGCGCTCACCAAACGTTTGTTCAAAGAAACTAGCGTGGTTCTTGATCATGTAGTCTTTAACAACCGGCTGGCCACCAAACTTGTAAATACGCTGTGAGACTTTGTAACCAGCAGCAAAGCCTAGACCAGGAAAGAGGGACCGGTAGCGAGCAATTAAAGGCTTTTCGGACGCATCACGAAAAATGACCTTGTTAATAGCCACAAGACCTTGCATAGACTCTTTGTTGGTCATAAGACGTTTCGCGATAGTATCAACAGGATGAAAAATCATGAGCTCGCACAAACCCGAACACGTTGAGCCAAGCAAACGTGCCGCCACAACGCCACTTGTACCTGTTTCCTTGCCATTTCCGATCACAACCATTGGCTTTAGAGAAAAATTGGAAATGACGAGCTGTACACTACGTTTACCCAAGTTGAAGTTTGAGACAAAAAGCAAATATTTCAACAAGAAACTATGTTTTGTACATTTTATATAACACTTCATGTAATGTATGAATGGTCAGTAGTGAGCGAGAAGCTATCGCTAACATGTTGCCGTCATTATACGCAACCCTATAAACGATTATTGTGACGTAAATCGGAGTCTTTACCTTGGTCTATTATCATTTTTTATATAGATAGCTCGTGATTTTCTATATTTCATATCCAAGCGCTTATGTCAATTCTTGCCAATTAATTTCTCTTCTCAGCTTCCAGTCTCGCTATTGAAAATATATATATATCATTGCAATGGTTTTCGACTGCTCAAAGAGTATTATGACGTCGTCTTGATAAATATTTACTTGAAGCTCTTTAGCACGTACGAAACTCCACTTTAGTTACCACCACTACATGAATATAATAGACGAGTGACAATTTCCTTCAACTCTATCCCTCGTCTTCGCTTTTTGAAAGCAACGAAATACTATCTTCGAGTGGCACGATTTGATTAGCGTGCATGATTGTTGAGCATTTAGAGATCGTTATATCAACATTATATACTGCGAGTGAGATTTCTTGACGAGGATATTTAGAACTATAAAAAGCAAATTGACGTTTGTCACGGAAAATACCTCATAGTATTTGGGTCAAGTCGCGATGGAAATTCGCATGGCGTCAATCGATCATAGCATTCAATCAATGCGTGTTAATACTCGGAATAATCGAGTCCCTATGAGTCTATACTTGCCAATCCTTTTTTGATGATTTGTTTTGTTTATGCACATTTCAGAATTGAAAGTACAAACGCTTGATTGGATATGCTTGGATGCATTTGACCGCCTGTCCAATGTCATTGCTATTTGCTGCTGATCATTTATCTGCTCAAACGCTGTATGGTTTTGTGCCGCCACTTCAATTTGTAATCGATCAGATCGGTCTCCATTCAATGCGTGTAGCGAAGTGAAAAGCTTTTATACCCGGTCAGAATCGTTTGGCAACGATCTCGCGCTAAACCGAGCACACACTGTCGACCTCGACATTCAAAAGCTCGAGTCAAACTTGTCGCCTCATGGAAGCTTCACAATCATCGGCGACCCGTCACGTGTTACTCCAGTCGAACGGCGGCGAAGCGTCAGTCACAACACCGTATCAAACATGATGAGGCGCAGTCGCAACAACATCGAGTTCGGCGCGCTGCTCACGTAGCAAGTTCTGCAGCCTTTCAAGAAGATTACCACGTTATTCAGTGACTCCAGTCGATGGGATAGTCAAGTTCTTGTTGCACGATATCAAGGTTGACGGAAGCCACTGTAACGGGGCTCCACGTGCCCTGAGTTGAAGGGTCCGTGTTACACAAGATGTTGTGATCACACAATGGTGTGTGTGACACAAGATTGTGTTAACACACAAAGGCGGGACAACAAATCGGAAGCGGACTTTCGTTGCAGGTATAGCAGCCGATCCTCTTCCCGATGTGGTCACAGTGACTGTCTCTATGGAGGGCCTTCGCACTGGCGAGGCCAGAATGGAAGTCTTTCGAGTGTGCCCGTCTTCATTTCAAAAAGCGGTGAATGTGGCATTGAATGCCGCTTATACTTTGAAACGGCACACTTTGGTTGGAATGCACACTCTATCAGCTTGTCGAGCGGACCTGAGCCGATAGATCTCAGCTATGCTGAGGACGAGGAGGTAGAGATCCGAGCTGCCGAGCAGCGTTCAAGCACCCGACGGTGTTTTGTCTGTGGAGACACCCGTCACCTTTGGGCTGGTTGTCTTCTGCGCAAGGCGCGTCAAGATTCATCGAACCGACCACTCGATTATTACCATTATGGTTTGTCACGGGGAAACAACAACACCCAGTAGGCGCGGTGCGGTCTACTAAGCAAGAATTGAGTTCTGTTGGGCCTCAAAGAGGGAGAGGGCAGCGGAACCCAGCCCCGAAGAGCTCCGGAACGTGTATGCAAGCCGGGCTTGCGGGTCGTGGAAGCGACCGTGAAGGGCTTGGAGAAGCCAAGGAAGATTCTTATCGACTCCGGGGCGACGATCAATTATACTCGACGCTCAAGGATATAAGAAAATTAGCTGCATTCTGAGGCGCTGTAAGCACGGTTGAGTGACACCGTCACTGTTCGGTTAGCTACGACGGTGCTGAACGTCCCTGTGGACCTCGGCGTCAAGTTTCTTGACTTTGATAGCGTGGAATGCTGTTTGGTCATACTATTGGTATCAAGGTATGAATTTATCCTTGGAACGGCATGGTTGGAACACCATAAGCCATAAAGATCGATTGTAGTCGAAGACCTTGGGCGCTACGCGCACGTCTCCTGGTGGAGCTTTGGTGAGTCATGACCCCACCACTGCTAAGAAGCAGAAGCGCTTTTGGCGCGGATACTGAACCGGGACGGTCAATGTGCTGGAAGTCGGAGTGTCAGCCACCAAAGATAAAGTCCCGAGCATGGCTCGTAGGCTGAATGTGGAGTGGCACGCAGCCCACTAAGCGCTGATCAAGCATAAATAGGGTGCATGCGTGCGTGGTATGGTCTGCTAAGGGCTGAGGCAACGAGGGCAAGGCCCCAGTGATGAACGTGGAGTGGCACGTATTTCACTGTGCACTGCTCACGTCTCGAAGCAGTCGCTGCATGCCATGAGTGGAATGGTCAAGCGAGGTTCAAGGCATCAGGGATGAGCCCCAGTGATTCACGTGGAGTGGCACGTAATCTTCTGAGCGCTGCTCACGTTACGAAGGGGTCGCTGCATGCCACAGGTGGCATGGTCGGACAAGGTCCGAGGCATCGAGGGCAAGGCCCTTCTGATGCGCATGGAGTGGCACGTGACCCACGTGACCCACTGGACGAAACTGCGGGAATAGCAGCTCTTCGTCCGATGTTGTTAATGACATCAAGGCTCCGGTAAGGCAGAAAGTAGGGCTAGCATTAGACTACGTTGGGTGCCTGCTCCCACTAGTCTCAACAACCTCTGTGGAGAGGCGGTGGCGACGGCGACGACGACGACGTATGATAGCTGCAAGTCTCCAGGCGTCAAGCCTGACCCAGGATGCGTCTACCGTAGACGATAGCGCACAGCTACACACCCTTGTCAACGACATGACGGGGGAGGAAGACGGCGACGTCACCCTCGGAGCTATATCTGCGGTGGATGATCTTTTTGAGCTGGATGAAATGTCCTTCGAAGCGTTTGGCGGTTCGTTGAAGGCAAGAAATGGTCATTATACGATCGGAAGAGAAAATCAACTCGTCGTCGTTTCTGAATGAAGCTATCCTGAGTGCCACCAAGAGGTTGCTGAACACACGAAGTGGATTATCGATCCTGAAGATTTTCTCGAATTGGTACTATCCTTGGTGAAGAAATTTCAAGACGTCGGCTCCGAAGACCCGCTGTCGGTCCTAACTCTGGACCGAGGTGTGCGTCATGGGATCAACCTGGTTCCGGTAGCCAAATACTGCATAACACGCTAAAATCCCCTGCCCAAGGATCATTGCGACATCATTGACGCCTTTTTCCGTGCGAAGCACGATGCAGGAATGGTGCGTGAGAGCAAGTCTCCCCATCCGACAGCCACGTTTTGTCCTGAAAACCGAACGGCAAGCGGCGTATAGTTCACGCTTACAGTAAGCTCAGCGCTGCCAGCATTCCGACACAAACACCGATTCCTAGGAAGGATATTCTCTAAAACAACATGGTTGGATGTACATACTACAGTGTACTCGAGTTAGTCGATGGGTATTAACAATTACTTATGAGAGCGAGTGATATTCCGCTGACAGGTAAGTTCTTCGAGCAGGATGCTCTGGGAGTGGCTGGTGATATTCCAAGGGCTGTCAAATGCACCAGCAGTTTTTGATCGTCTTGTTGCGCAATTGCTCACGCCCCACCGGGCGTATGCAGCAACATACTTTGACGGCATCTTCGTCCACAGTCGTGCGAGCCACGGGAGGACAGATGAGGAAAACCACATCGACTGTTTGAGAGCGGTGCTCGAGTACGTGCGCACGAATAAGATGCATACAAGTGCATCTTCGGTGTTAAAAAAAGAAATTCGCTTTTGAAGAATCTTCATCTGGAGCGTAGCCTTCAAACGTATCCCGCTAAGGTCATGGCCACTGTGGACTGGCCGGTTCCAAGGAACCAAATAAGACTTGCGCAAGTGGCTTTGCCTCGCCAACTACTTGCACAATATAGCGCAAATTATGCGAAAATGGCTCGGAATTTCTATGAGAAGGATACGAAATGGTGTTGGGACACCGAGCACCGGGAGGCTTTTGACGGGGTCAAATACAGCCTCCTTCATGCTCCAATATTGGCGTTGCCGGATCCTTTTGACTTACGTTTCGGACTTTACCATCGGCTGTGCACTGCTGCAAGCAGACGCCGAGGGACGAGATCAGGTGATCACGTTCGAATATCGCCAGCTTAAGGATGTGGAGAGAACTACCCAGTCCACGACAAGGAATTACTTGCGATGAAGTCTGCTTTTGTAATGTTTAGAGTGCACCTGCTCAGCTCCATCCGTTTGTGATCTACATAGATCATGCGTCATTTTGCACTGCGACTTAGTCGCCCACCTCTCGCATAGGATGACCAGGTGGCTCCCTTCTTTGCAAAATAAAACTTTGAGGTGAAGTTTCAGTCAGAAAGCACAATTGTTTGGCTGATGCGTTGTCACGCGGACCAGACTATAAGCCTGTTCATGTCACGACGGTGACGTCGTCCGTGATGGATTGATCCGGCCGGAAAGCTGCTACGGGCTCTCGGGGGAAAAGAGTTTAAAACTCGAACAATAAACTGTCGTCGCGAATGCGTGCCCGGTTGCACCGATATTCATTGAATAATGGATTGCTGTATTATGGCACCGACCCGACGGATACGCCACGAATTGTGGCTCCTCACGATGAGAATTTCGAAAACCGTATCCTCCATGAG